GCAGGAGGAGGCAGCACGTGGGGTGAGGATGGGAATGGGATTAGGCAGCTGACGCCCTGTCCAGACGGCCGGCTGTGGGCAGGACATCTGTGCACACAGCTGAGGGCACCAGGTGGCCGACACTTCCGCCTCACCTCAGATCTGCCTCGGGGCTGCCCTACACCCCTCTCCTAGAGAGAGCTCCAGGGAGCCTGAGAACTCTCGCCCTGGGGTCTGGCCTTGGCCTACGTTGGGGGCCAGGGAAGACCCCTGCCAGGGATGGAGACACTGGGCAGGCTGAGGCTGCATGGAGGCCCTCGGTCCTCTGTGCTCCATGCAGGGGCTCCTCCCACCTGTACCCCACGCCTGCCTGCACAGGCCCCTCACTCCTTCTGCTGGTCACACAGGCCCTCATGAGCCAAGGATGGATGCCATCTCCACACCCACTTCCCCAGTCGAGGGAGCACTCCTCCTCTGGCCAGACCCTGGTCTCCCTCACAACCACTGCCGGCCTCACTTCCAGGGCCGCCTCAAAGAGGCTGACCCAGTCTCCCCACAGCTCCCTCACTGCCCTGTCCTGGATCCCTCCCACCCTCGGCTCCCACGCTTTCCTGCGGTAGAACCTGGGGTCTCCATGGACAGCATCTGTCCACAGCATGGGTAGCCCCTCCTAATCAGGTCAGCCCAACCCCCCACTTCCGACTTCCCTGCTCTGTCCACTCTGCTCACAGCAGGAGCCCAGGCCCAGACACCCCCGCCCGCCAGCCCCCCACCCCCTACCCGCTGTGCTCCCACCACATGGTTCTCAAGCACCATGAAGCCTGGTGATCCAGGCCCCTCCTGCCTTATGCCCTCTCCAGGGGCCAGCTGAGTACCCCCAGACCAAGCAGCTGTCAGACCTGGGCGCATGGCCCCAAGGCATCCCCAGCCAGGAACGGGATAAACACACTGGCAGGCGGGGACAAGGAGTGGGCAGCCCCTGCCCTTTACACTGAGGGGCCTGTATCCTCATCAGTATCCTCCACCCCCATAACAGCAGCCTCCTCTGTGAGAACAGGCCCTCACAGAAGGTTCTTGTGAACAGGGGGAGACCCCCCAGACACCCACCACATGCTAGGATGTGGAAGCACCTGGGGGTGCCACCACCTCCATGTGTAGGGACAAGTGTCTGCCTGCTCGGGGATCAAAAGACAAGGTTCTCTACCCAAGAAGAAAGCCAGAATAAGTAAAGAGCTCTTACAACTCAACAACAAAGACAAACAACCTGACTAAAACAGGCAAGGAACACAATAGATGCTTCTCCAAAGAAGATTATATACAGGGCCAAAAGCCACAGAAAGTTGCTCAACACCATTAGCCACCTTGTACGTGTATGTCAATACCACAAAGAGACGCCCCTTCACACCCACGAGGGTGTCTAGAACCAGGAAAATATAAAACAAGTGTTGTGCATGCTGCAGAATGCCAAACAGCACAGCCACTTAGGAAGACAGTTTGGCAGCTCCTCAGAAAGTGAGGCACAGATGACCACAGGACCCAGTAGCCCCACTTCTAGGTGCAAACCCCTAAAGAGCTGAAGACACAGGTCTGCTCAAGGAAAAGAAATGCTCACACTCCCCTGTTCACAGCAACACTGTCCAAACAACCAGACAGCCGAAATAGCCCAACTATGTGTCAGCTGACAGCACTTTGGAACACCTGTCTGTTCATCCCACGGAGGAAGTCAGACACGGGGCAAGCACCAGCCAAGCTCGAGGTGGAGGACCCTGGAAATGACACCGGGGAGGAGCCAGACCAGGAAGGTCATGCAGCATGTGCTTCTGTTGATCGGAGGTGTCCAGAGCAGGAAAATCCACAGGGACAGCAGAGCAGTGGCCATGGGGCCAGAGGAAGAAGAGGGGGTCTGAGTGTTGGACAGGATGAGTTTTCAACCCTGAGGGCAAGGTTCTGGAATTAGTGATGGCTGTGGGTGGACCAAAGGCTCCCAGTTGAAGAACTCGACGGGATGGGGGTTATATCCAGCCCAGCCTCAGCAGCCCTACACCACTGGACCCCTACAACCCCTCCTGGCCTGAAGCACCCAAACTTTGCTGCTTGTGCTGGTTCCAAGACCATCAACTCATGCTGATGTCTGGCCTGCTGTGGGGATGCGGCTGGGGACACGAGACCTGCAGCAGGCAAGAGAGGCAGGACCTGGCTTGCAGAACTCCATCAGGGCCCAGCTTCCCACCTCTGTCTCCCAAAGTGGCCTGCAAATGTTCCCTGAGTGATACAGAATGCAAGGGGTCAAACCCAAACCTAGCCCCAGGTGTATGATATGCCTTCTGTGTCTTCTAAAAAATCAAGTGGAAAGTCCCATGCTCCGAGGTCCCTGCAGGGGGCTGGCTCTCCCCTGCACAGCACCCCTAAGAGGAGGGCTGCAAGCTGCCCAGGCCTGCCAGGAACAGCCCCAAGACCTTGAGATCTGGACTCTATACCCTTCTAAATACAAAACATCCCAGCAGGGGGACACCCCAATCTGTTCTAGACTTTCACCCACTGGGCCCTTCAGATTCATCCCCTCACCTGAGAATTCCGGGAGATGGGCAGGGGACAAGGGAGTCAAAGTCTGAAACCCACCCCCATGGCCACCAGGGGAGGACCCGGGTCTGTGACTTGGGGCTGGGCAGCCAGGCCCAGGAGCACAGGCATGTTGGCAGCCCTAGGAGAGCCAGATGGGAATGCCACCTGCTAATCAGGCTGAGATGCAGAGCTGGGCCAAGGGGGGAAGAGGAGAGCCCCTTCCGCACAGCCAGGGGCCAATCTGGAGGGGTCCAGCAGTGGGGTGGCCAGAGGCCTGGAGAAGGGAAGGGCAGCCTAAGGTTGGGTTGCAGCTCAGGGAGGGGGCAGGGAGGGCTCCCGCTGGCCACGTGACCCTCCCCGGGGCCAGCCTCTCCTCTCCGGGTTCCTGGGCTGTAACTGGAGCTGCGTTCCTGCCTGGGAGCCTCGTGCCAGGCAGAGCTTTGGAGAGGGGGAAGGGAGAAAAGAGCCCTAGATTCCAGTTTCTTCTCCCTGCTCCCTGTCCACTCTAAGCTGGGGAGGGATGTCCAGAACACCCACACCAGCAGGGAGATTCCACCAGGCTCCTCCCGCAGCTCAGGCCCTGTGGAGTCTCTCAGCACTTGGGAACCTATCTCCTCCCTTGGCTGGGCTGGGAGCAGACCTTCAGCCCCCAGCCTGCCTTCCTCCACAGCTTATTAGGAATCAACTCAAGGGAAGGCTCAGGGCACCCAGCCTGTCCCCTGGCTCAGGGAAGAGCCTACTCTCAGTCCACTAGAGTCCAGTGCCCCCCTACTTTGTGCCCCTACCGAGCACATCTGCTCTCAGCCCCCCTTACAGGACAGCTACCAGGAAAGCTATACTTGAGCAGCACTCAGAGGGGACTCCCTTGAGGGGTCCTTTGAAGCCACACAGCTGGGCAGAGGGGCTGACCAGGAGAGACACAGTGGCACTGAAACCATTACTACCTGCACATGGCCAGCAGCCAGGATTATTAGGGAGCTGTAACACACAGGCACAGCTAAAACTGCAAAGCTTGGGATGGAGGCCCAGGATCCCATCCTCCCCATCTTCGTGGGTCTGAGAGATCCCAGGCAGAGCAAACCTGCTGCCCAGACAAGCCCAGGGTGTGTCAAAAGCCTGGTGAGCAGAGCCTCTTGGCCGAGCTGGAGAGTAAGGCACAGCTGGCGGATAAGGCTGTGACTCACGGTGGACCTGTGGCCAGACGGCCATTCTCCGGCCCTCCCTCCTGCCTCCTGCCCCAGGGGTGAGGCTCAGGGCTGCACAGATGGCAGGCAGGGGCTATACCCACAGTCCGAGCCAGGAGAGGGCCAGGGTGGGGACCCCAGGGGAACCAAGACACCAAGCTGACCCTGGAAGACAACCCTGGAGAAAGGAACAGACAGAAAAGGAGGAGAAAGAAAAACACAAAGGGAAAGTTTCCCATGAAAATATTTTATTTTCTTTGAGAACAGGATACACCTGCAGGGCTCTTCGGCCCAGGCCGGCCTCTCCCTGCCCTGGCCGGTGCCAGATTCCTGGACCAACGGGGCCCTCTGCCGGCGAGGCTGCTGCAAGCGCCCGCGCCTGGGCCAGAGGCTAGGGAACAGGTGACCGCGGAGGGCGGCGGCCCTGGAGCGGCCCAGGGCGCCCAGGAGGCCGACGAGGACCCAAGGAGCTAGCCAGGGCTCCCAGGGGCGGCGCCCGGGGAGGGGGGAGAGAGCTGGGGCGCTGCCTCACACTCTGGACCTCCGCATGCCCAAAGCGCAGCGTGGGTCCTTCTAAAGGTCGCTGGGTTCAGACATCCCAGACCTGAGAAAGGGAGGAGATGGGGAAAAGGGGGGAAAAGAGGGGGGTGGAGGGCTGACGCGCCGACAGTGCCGCAAACTGCTATGTCAGAGACTCAAAACTGGGTAGCGACCCGCGGGACAGCGGCGTCCTCTGCCCTGGCCAGGTCTCACAGACGCGCTCCCAAGGGCCAGGGTTGGGGCCCCGGGCGGGCGTCAAAAGCAACGCGCAAGAAAAATAAATTTCTCTGGCTTGGAGGGTTTTCTTTTCCCCCTTTGGGGCTCAGTGCAAGGAACATCTGGATTTTGTACGTATTTTTTTGTTGTTGTTAAATTAACTTCTCGAGGAGAGAAAGGGGGGTGGGTGGGCAAGGGCCGGGAGGCTCCAGCCTTTTGGCAGGAACTCCGCGGCCTAAGGCGCCGACGGCGACGACTCTGGGGTCACGGAAGACCTCGACCCTGCGCAAGCCCGTCGGGTATGCCGGCCTCTCTACCCCCAGTGCGCAGCGGGGGGCACCGACCCACGGATCGAGCGACGCGCGAGCCGCAAACAAACAGCTCCAAGCAACCCGGGAGCCCCGCTGAGCGCTGGCCCGGGCACCCAGACCGCGCGAGCCCCGGGGCTCCGGGCACCCCCGCCCCGGCCCCGCCTTCCCCGCCCGCCTGCGCGCGCGGCCGCCCGCCCAGGGCACCTACCCGAAGTAGGCGGCCGAAGGGCGCAGCGCAGCGAGCAGCAGCGTCAGCCCGAAGGCCGCGGCCAGCCAGCGCGCCAGCAGGGACCCATCCAGCATCTTGCCGCGCTGCGGCGGCGGACCATCGCGCTCCCGGCTCCGCGCAGGGTGCGCCGCGGCCGCCGCCCTCTTATAGCGCCCGCAGCAGCGGCCGCGGGGCGGGGCGCCAGCCAGCTGGCCAGGCCCGCCCTGCGCCCGGGAGGAGGGGTCACGCCGGCGCCGGGGGCGGGCCGAAACCCGAGCCGCGCGCCCCGCCTGCCGCCCGCTCGGCCTGGCCGCTCCCGGGGCGGGTCTGGGGCGCGACCGCCGGGAAGGGAGGGGCGGGCCTGCCAGAGCGGTGGGACCCGGCAGAGGGTCAGCGACGGGAGGTAGTGTGGGGGCCGGGTCCCGGAGGGCCAGAATCGTGTATCCGCAGCGGGACAGCCCGAAGCAGAGCAGAAACTGGAGCTCAGGGAGAATTTGGGGCGGGGTGAGTGTCGGCCGCCCGGGGCTAGAAGGCCAGGGGCGGGGACGGGAAAGGCTGGAGAGCCGGGTGCGACTGCGAGGAAACTTGGACCGCTGTGCGGCGGGGGGGCGGGGGCGGGGGTGGACATTGGCCGCGAGGCAAAAAACGCGGGCGCGAGTCCAGGACTCTCGAAGGGTGTTGAGTCTGGGGCCGCTGCTGCCTGCGCGGAGTTGGGGCACCCAGGCAACCAAGTACGAAGAGGAAATGGAAATGGGACTTCCAAGGAAGGAGACCCAAGAGGCTGTTCCCCATAGTGGTTACCGTGGACGATTTGGGCCTGGGTCCACTCCGGTGCGATCTGGTCCCTTAGGGCTTCTGACTCTCCATCGTTAGGTTGAGCAAGAAGTAGCTAGCACCTGAAGTCACCGCCAGCCCTGACCATCAAGCAGCCGTTCCCAAAAGCCCATGTCCTCACCATCCATGAGGATGGTGAATGAAGGGTGACTCTTGGGGATCAAGGTGCTGGAGTATGGAAGCATGGACTACCAGTGCCTCATTCAGATCCGTTTCTGGAGCAAGAGCAAGATGGTGTCAGAGAATTCAAAGCCTAAATTAAAACAGATACAGTTATTGGATTGACCAATGGATGAACCTTGGCATTGAGAAAGCTCAGAAAAAGTCCCCTGGACAGGAGGCCTCTGCATTGTGTATGTTTGTGACCATACAGCAAGGGACTGGGGATCAAAGCTGCCTGGTCCAGGCATGTAGGTGCCCTGGCAGTGCCCGCTTCCTCACCTGGACACCTTCAGTGCCTGAAGCACCCCATACTGAAGCCACTGTCAGAGCCTGAGACTCAGAGTATGGGTCTCAGAGCCCTGGGCCCACCAGGGGGCGCTCTGCTGCTGGCCCTAGTGTGGGCCAGCACCCTTTGAGCTAATTCTGGCCTGCAACCTCCCAGTATGAGTAGGAGCACCTCTGGAGGCCTAAGCTCTTCACTCGCTTTCTGTGGCAAGGCAAAAGCAAAGGAGGAGACAGGAGCAGAACCTGCACTCATCCGATGGTCCAAGCCAAGCCTTGGCAGGCTGGCCTGCCATGTGAGCATGCTGTATCCTGCCAGAGGAGCTCACGCTGGCTGTGTGGCTGGGTAGGGGTGGGCAGAGAGCAGCCGCCTGGGCAGGTCACTTCCTCTCTGAGCCCCCTTCTCCCATCTGAGACTCATCTAACTCCAGTGAATGGTGGCTCTTTCCAAATTGTGATGTCACCTTGTAGCCCAGGGTCTGCCTTTTTGTTAGGTGTGACCAGCTTCACATCATTCCCATTCCCGGGACCCCTCCCCTGCCCTCTTCTGCTCACACTTTGCCAGGCCCCCCAATAGGGCTCTTTCAGCAAAGAAGCACAGAAAGCAGCCCCGGCTCACCCCAGCTGCAGTGCCCAGTGTGGCTCCCAGGACTTCCTTCCACCTGAAGGCCTGGCTGCAGTCAGGGAAGAGAGGCAGTGGAGGGGCAGCCCTAGGAAGCAGGGGATGGGAGACCCAGAGCGATGACATGTTTAAAGGCATGAGATTGCTTCCAAGAAAAATGACGTGTGAGATTGTAAATGTGTGTCACAGGGCACTGCGGGTGTTACAAAGCTCCCTTCCAGCCAGAGTGGAGCTCTGTCACATTGGCCACCCAGTGAGTCCCTGCTGAAGGAGGCAGCTAGCCAGCCAAGGAGCAGAGAGCTCCCTGGACCCCTGGGCCATACTGGGTGTGAGGGGTTCTGGCAAGGATTCATGCACTCAGGAAGAGCTTTGCTTTCTTTAGTGGTGGTGGGATAGGGTTAGAGAGCTGAGTGAGGGGAGCTGCCTAACCAAATTCCCACTTGAAGCCCTGGCCCAGCTCCAAGCAAGAACATATCAGACACCCCACGGAACCAGAGCATGTGGGTGACTGGGCCCAGGGTACGTGGGTGGCAGGGCTTGTGCCCAGTGTAGGGTAATGCCAGAGCTACCTGAGGGCCTGGGAGACCACCCCAGCTCTCAACTGCCCATCCCTGGGGAGATGCCACCACTGTCCTCACCCTAAGTGGGCCCCAGTAGACCCTCCTTGCCCTGTGAGCCTCAGGCTTCACACCTCGTCAGGCCACCATTGCCCAGGAATTGCCCGCTCCACCCTACCCACAGAAGAGGTGGGCCTTCCTCAGAGCAGGACAAGCTTGAAGCAGTTCCCTCTCCCTCTCAGGCCCTTAAGGTGCTTGTGGAACCCAGACTTCAGATAGGCCCAGGGTGCTGCATGCCCCTGCTCACTTCTACCTCACCCAGCCTACCCTGAGCACCCTTGTCCACTGGGAACACTGTGGCTTGTGGGCCCTCGGTATCTGCCCAGCTGTCGCCAGTGGCCCACACCAGGGTAGAAGGCAGCTGCTCCTTGGAGGTGTAGCCGTACCTGCACAGCCAGTTCCAGTCCCTGAAGGTAGGTGCAGAGGGCAGAAAGCTGAGGGAAGGGGCCGTGGGGCTGCACCAGGGGAGACAACTGTTGCAATTTTAGGTTTTTCTGATGCTGGACAGAATGGGGGACCCATCGGGGGCCACTGAGAAGGCAGAAGTGAATTCTCAGGGGAGAGGTATTGACAGGCACCTGCCAGGCTACCTCCGTGGGATCTAAACTGAGCCCCAGAGGTTTGGCAGAATTCACCAAAGGCACTTGGAAAGCTAGGGAGAAAAACAGCCCCTGCTCCGCCACGTGCCGGGCTTTCCCTGGCTCTGGGCAGTGTGTGAAGGGGCTTTTCTCCAGGCAGACAGACTCTCCTCATCTAGTGTTCTATGCTCTGGCTGATGGCTAACTGCCCCCCTTATTTCTGTTGGAGCCATGGCCTTCCTTGGATGGGAGGCCTGCCATCCCCCACTTCAATCATCCAGGCCTCTGAAGTCATCCAAATAAGGGGGCAGGGGGCTGGACAAGATCCACTGGGTCCACGGTCAAGAGCAAAGTTCCATTCAGATCCTAGATATGCAGCCACAGCTGCTCAGCTGATCCTGACTCAACCAGCTTGCAGGCCAGAGCCCCTGAGGAGAGGAGAACCCCATGACCATTATTCCTGCTGCGCAGGGCCCCTTACCAAGGGACCACCTGCTGGAAGGCCATCAGACCTTCAGGGACCAGGGGACACTGGCTCTGGCCTACTTCCAAGGACCCACAACATCCCCTGGGCCCTCCAGTGAGAACACAGGCTTGTGGGGGCGGCTGATCTCTGCAGTCGGAGACTCCTCACCGTGGGTCCCCAAGTCCGTCTCGTGGTCATTGCAGGAATAGACACTCAGCAGCTGGCAGACTCCCCAGGATGTGAGGGAGAGTGAGCATGGGTAAGGCCAGGCTGGTGTGTCCCTGCCCACCATGCCTGGCATTGGGAGCAGGGGAGCAAGGCCCCGAGGGCACAGCCCCAGGCTTGCTGAAGGGAGGGAGGAGCCCCCACAGTGAATCCTGCTCCTGAAAGGAAAACTGGTGGGAGTGGACACCCCCACCTGAGTCCTCCACACTTCCAGCCTTGGAGACCCCTGCCCCTGAGGGTTTGGATTCAGTATCTGAGGATGACAGCCAGGGCATCTCGGAGAGGCTGTGGGGCCTGGTCAGTTCACACTTTGCATGAGCCCCGCGGCATTTGGGCCCACCAGGACCCCAGGCAGGGGAGGGCCGCTGCCTCCCTTGGTCAGGCCCACCACACATCTCTTCCAAGCCTGTCTGGATTCTGGACAGCATAGGGCAACCGTGGAGGCAGCGTGGGCCAGGAGGCTCCTGTGACCCCAGCAATGGGCCCCTGTCCGAAGCCAGGATTCCCTGTTGGACAGAAGCTCAGAGAGTGAAGGAAAGAAAAAGAATGAAAGAGAATTATCATCATCATCATCATCATCATCATCATCATCGGAGAGACCGACAAAAAGGGGCCAAGTGTGGGAGGAGGGGGAGGAGGCACATCAGGTGAAAGGGAGGAAGAGAGTGCGGACTGCAGAGGACCAGACTGAAGAGAGGTGAGCCAGGAGGCAGCACAGGTCCCCCAGCTGCGCACCCTCTGAGCCTGGGTCTCCAAACACCTGGAAGCGTGAGAGAGGGCTGGGCTCCAGGGCTCTACGCTCCCTGCTGGGGCTTCTGGAGGCCTGGAGAGGGGCGGGCTGCTGACTGGGAGGGGAAGCAGAGTCAGGTGGTCGGGAGCAGGGGCCTGGGACCACTTACCAGGAAACACTGCCTAACTGGGAGGGTTTATGAGGCCAGGCAGGGGGTCTCCCTGGGGGAGACGCAGAAACCGTGCATGAGTCATTTGAAATGGAGCTGGACAGAGAGCCCAAGGAGACATGATCCCACCCAAACTGCCAGCGTGGGTGGGCTGAGCTTGGGCTGTGACAGGGTTGGGGGGCGGGGACAAGGGAGCAGAGGAGACAGATGCCAGAGAAAAGGGGAGGGAAAGCCGACAGGGGAGGAGAGAAAGGGAGACAGCAGAGAGGTGGGGAGAAGGAACCCCAGGGCCCACCTGGTCAGGCCTGGACAGCTGAGCCTGTCCAACTAACTCAGCCAACCCAAGTCCCTGCACAGCCAGGCTGCCCCCTGCAGGTCAAGGGAGAAAGCCAGCATCCTAACCACCATCCCAGCGACCATCCTAACTACCATCCCAGTGACCATCCCAACCACCATCCCAGCGACCATCCCAACTACCATCCCAGTGACCACCCCAACTACCATACCAGTGACCATCCCAATGATCATCCTGACCACATCCCAATGACCATACCAATAATCATTCTGACCACCAACCCAGTGACCATCCCAACTACCATCCCAATGACTATCCCAACCACCATCCTGACAACCATCCCAGTGACTGTCCTGGCTGCCATCCCAATGACCGTCCTGACCACCAGCCCAGTCAGGGTCTTGTCTAGCATGCACACACCCTCTGAGCAGCACCTAGCTCAAGGCCTAGGGCAGATGCTCAATAGACATGGAGCTTATTGTTCACAGTGAGAAAACCACATACACACTGTGTCCACTGTGAGATGTGTCAGAGATCTGAATAGAAAGAACACAGAGAGACCTTGGACCCTGCACCCATTTTCCCCCAGGCAAATTGATGGGCAGCATGCAGCAGGAGGTTGGGTGGAGACCATTGAGTGCCTTCCTATACACAATCATGTGAGGTACAGTTCCACCAGGCATGGTGGTTCATGTGTCCACCCCACAGCACAGGTGGTCAACATCCCCATTGCTGGATAGATGGGCCACCACCGATTTGCTCTCCGCCTGCCATTTTGACATTTCAAGGTATATAGATGGAATCATACAGTATGTGGCCTTTTGAATGATCTTATTCATTCAGCATGGTTCTCCTGAGATCTACCCAAATTGTTGCATATGTCAATAGTTTGTTCCTTTTGATTTCTTCCCAGTACAGTCATCCCTTGGTATCTATAGAGAGATAGATCCTGGGGGTCCCAGGATCCCCCATGGGCACCCAAATCCTCAGATGCTCAAGTCCTTTAGATCACACACAGCCTCCACAGCCTCTCACATAATCTATACTCGAGGTCTGGGGTTGTGACTCTATGGTAGAGCGCTCACCTAGCACGTGCAAGGCACTGGATTAGATCTTTAGCACCACATAAAAATAAATAA